GAAGGTGGCCTCCACACTTGAGAAATAGAGAAACAAAACAGACAAAACTCCCTGCCCTCAAAGTTTACATCCTAGTAGAAGCAGCTGGACAATAAATAATAACATGATAAATTACTCAGCAACTAATGGAAAAAAACTATTTAATAAAGATTAAGTAGTATTAGGATTGCTTTGGGGTCAGTTTGCAATTTTAAAATAAGATGTTCACAGTAGGTCTTACTGATATATTTAAACAAAGACTTTGGGTGGGGAGGGAGTGAGCTATGTAGGTATCTAAAGGAAGAGCATTCTAGGGCACAGTGCAAAGGTCCTGAGACAGAATCATGCCTGATGTGTTCTAGGAGCAGCAAGGAGCCAGCATACCTGGAGTGGAGTGTGCAAGTAAAGTAGATGAGGTTAGAGATGAGGGAATAAAATTGAGTGAAATGGGGAACTATTGGAAGATTCTGAGCAGAGGGTTTTATACTTTTTTCGTTCCCTCTTACTATGTCTTGCACTTCTGTTCAGTAAGTATTTGTGGACTGATTTCAATGGGAGCCATATGTGAAAATGCTGACTTAAGAGTTACATACTAATAGTGATGACTGCCTGATAGTCCTAGGGCAGCCAGAAGGGGAGTTTTCTTTTTGTTTGGTGTTTTGTTTGTTTTGTTTTTAACATCTTTATTGGGGCATAATTGCTTTACAATGGTGTATTAGTTTCTGCTTTATAACAAAGTGAGTCAGGGGAGTTGTTTTGAGGCAGATAAAACATAGTGGAACCTTCAGGCTACACCACGTAGCTAAAAATAATTTAGAAATACCATTAAGATAATTTACATACTTAAAAAAAGGTCTTCAGTCCCATTGTCTCATTCTTTTGAATGGAAATAAAGGCGGCTTCCCTTTGTCTACTCTGACAACACGTGATAGCTTTTATACTATGACCACAAGCAGTGCATCACAAATATAGTGTCACTGAGTCACAACGTAGTGTTTTTAAAAGGAGAGTACAATGTTAAGATCTGATAATTTAATAAGAAAGAATCTGATCAAATTTCCTTCCAGGGCATAGAACAGTTAGCTACTAGATTAGTGACTTATTGGTCATAATTGTCAGGTGCAAGAAAGGTTAGACTGTGAAGCAACCACTTTAATTAGGTTCTACAATGATAATTATTTTAAATGTGATGACCTGCTTTTCAGCTGTAAGAACTTTGTGTTCTATAGGAAGTGAGTGTTGTTACACTTGTTTATGTGTATTTTAATAACATGTTTTATAAATGCCTAATAAATAAAATCTTCAAAAAATTACTTAGAACTATTCTGCCTTAGCATAGAGTTCATCTCCTCAGGACAGGCGGTACCAGAACTTCAGTGTTTTTTGAACAACATCATGAATGAGTGAGCTGTGTGGTAGGTTAGCATCTGCCCCCAAATGCATTTGGATCCCTGTTTTCTTTATCAGGGTGGCACGGCTTCCAGAAAGATGGGAAAATGACACTCATGTCATGTCTCCCCTCCCCTGTTCCCCAGTTTCTACATTCTAAAGTACAGAGCTTTATCAGCGCACAAAACGTCTGCTGACTCCTGTCAGTCCCAAACTGTTACCAGCTTGCAACCAGATAAGTACAGAAACTGAGGGCAAGCGTTTAAGAGCTTTTGTAATACTTGGCAGAGTAATTTTGTCGGTTGAACTTTTAAAAATCAGGCTATATCTTTTTAAAAATTCATTTTCATAGTTATTGACTTAAAGCAGTTTACACAGTCATCCGTCCATGACAGATTGGAAACAAAAACTGGTCCTTCATGTCAAAAATTTTAACACTGTTCTAGGTGACCCTTTGGCCCAAATACCAACAGAAAAAAGGCCTAGTGATTCCTGCATCAATCCAGCCTTGTCTTTTTGAATGTGTGAATTCCATTGGCCTGTCTCTGAACCCACCTGGCCTTACTGCAACCATGGCCTCCATCCTATATTTGCATCTGGGCTGAAACACAATATACTCAGCCCAGCATGTCTTCACAGGGCTGTGCCTGCCCAGAGGGAGCTGTCTTCTAAATTCATACTACTGTCCCTGCATGGTATAGAGTATGGTAGGTGGCTCAAGGGGAGCTGTGAGCAACAGCAGGAACTTTTCTGTTAGATACTTATTTACTATAGCTCCGTAACTTACTTTTCTCACTTAACATGTTACAAAATTGTTATCATGCCAACATAGACCAATAAGTTTTGATAGCTTCAACACATTTCAATAGACGATTATTTAACCAGTTCCCTACAGGCCCACAGGCCTATGTTAAGCAATTCTTTCAAATTATAATAAATTGAAGAAGTTTGCATAAAAGTTTATTCTTTATGAAAGTGCCCATAATCTCACAATCTCAGCAGAGCAAATCTGGCCTCCTTTATCCACCTTTTGGCTCATTAAACTCAACATGTCCAAAAACAGACCTGTTATCTCCTACCCCAGTCCTCTTCCCTTTCCCGAACTGTCAGGAGAGCCAAGCTAGAGAACACTAGGTCTTCTACTTACCTCTTTAGTGTCTCATGTTTATCATTTTCTGTTGCAGTGACTTCACTGCATTAGTGGTAACATTTCTTACCTCTCCTCTTGAAGGAGTCTAACTGGTCTCCTGACATCCAGTTTTTTTTTCTCCCCCCTTGGCTGCACTGCGCGGCTTGCAGGATCTCAGTTCCTTGACCAGGATTGAACCTGGGTCGCGGCAGTGAAAGCCCGGAATCCTAACCACTAGGCCACCAGGGAACTCCCCAGCCTAACTTTCTGCAATCCATTTTGAAGCTCCCTCCAGGATTTTTTGCCCCCAAGTTAAGTTTCTTCAAAAAATTTTCCTTATGATACAGAATTCTTTAGCTGAGAACAATTTCTAGAGTCAGCTATGAGCCGCCAGTAGCTAGTACTGGGGTGGGGGTGGGGGGCAAGCCAAGGGGGAAATGAAATCCAAATTTAGCACCAAAGTACCCACTGGCAATCTTTCCACCATCTTAATCACTTTTCCTCCTCCCTCCACACTCAGTCCCTCCACCTAAATGGAGATTCTTGCTATTTCTATAGCAAGCAATTCACCTGGAACTCTTTCAAAAAAGATCTGCTTAGAAGGCTACATCCTTGCTTGTTACTTAGTATATTCCCACAGCTCTTAGCTCAAAGATGACCTTCTTCCATTAAATCTTTCCTAACCTCCCTGGGTAAGAGGCTCTTGCAGCACATCACTATCAGATCACTGTTTTGTTTTTAAATACAGCAGGTTCTTATTGGTTATCTATTTTATACATATCAGTGTATACGTGTCAATCCCAATCTCCCAGTTCATCCCCCCCCCATCCCGCTTTCCCCCCTTGGTGTCCGTACGTTTGTTCTCTACATCAGATCACCTTTTGTAATCTACTTCCTCTACTAGAATGAGATCCTAGGAGGGACAGTGATTACGTCTTACTCACTTCTATATTCTCAGCATCTAGCACTATGTCCTGCATTTAATTCACACCCAGTATTTTTAACCGACTATTCATGTAGTTTTACCTAGTTAGTATAGTGAGCACATTTCCTTTAAAATTTTAATGTACTTGCATAGACATTATGACCAGATTAACTGGGACCCTAATTTTTTCCATCTAGGTTGTTTCTACAAGTGACTTCGTATATGGCTATCTACCTACATATTCCCTCAAGTTAAAAACGCACTGCCAGATCATCCTTCCTAGGAACTATTTTCCAGGGTACCATCATTGAATTGGTATGTATTTCCATAAAAGCTTCACCAGCATTAGATTTCATTATTTTTCCTTATTTTGCAGGCTTTTAATCCTTGCAAAATATTGAGGGCTGGTTGGGGAAAATGTTGACGGGGAGGTACCATGAGCCTGTGTGGAGCATCAGGGTAAAGGACATCACAGGGTTAATGAAGGCGGCCAACTTCCAGGGTTCAACTCAACCTTACTACTAAAATGCTAAAACTGAAGTCAGAAGAAGCAAATGTACTATCAAGGATGGGGAACGAATTCTTCAATTATAAATAAAGTAGGTGAAATAACTGAATCCCCAAGTTTTAGGTAGCTATAAAAGGGAGACTTATTTGGAAAAGGTTTAGCTGAGAGACTGCATAGTGATTAAGAAAATGAGCCAGTTTTGAATCTAGACATTTCTACTTGTGCAACCTTGGGCAAGTTACTTTAAACAGGACAGTTTGGGGGATGTTTCAGTCTTAAGTTTCCCTTAACTAAATCCTCCTCCCCAAGGACAGGAATAGTATGTTATCAGAATAAAGGAGACAAACCATATGGTCATTTCAGTGGATGCAAAAAGTGGGCGAGGGGGGATGAGGGGGGAAGGAGTCTGCCAAAATTCAGTACCCATTCATGAGAAAAACAGAGCAAACTAAACAGAAGTAGACTATGTAAAAGGTATCCATCTAGGCATCTACATAAAACCAATAGCATTTTTTCTTATTTAATAAACATTTATTTAATACAAATACATTTAAAAAAATTTAATTGGAGTAAAATTGCTTTACAATGTTGTGTTAGTTTCTGCTGTACAATGAAGTGAATCAGCTATATGTATACCTATATCCCCTCACTCTTGGGCCTCCCTCCCACCTCCCCCCATCCCACCCATCTAATTGTCACAGAGCGCCACATGGAGCTGAGCTCCCTGTGCTATACAGCAGGTTCCCACTAGCTACCAATAGCATTCTTGATGGACTGCTCTTTTCTTCCTAAAATTGGGATGAGCATGCCTTAACAGAAGACCAGGATAAGGCTGAGGCGAGGAAAGCCCCTAGGGAGCAAAATGCAAGGATGCACTCACTCCCAGATGCCCACTTGCATCACCCTGACACTACCTCCTTGAATTCTGCTCCCTAGGTTGTCTTCCCAACCTCATCTTAGTAGGCCTGCTCTTACCACTTATACTCAACATGTATTAGAGGTCCTAACCGGGCAACAGAGAAGAAAATAAAACCTTTTTAAAACCAGTGAGCTTAAGCAAGGTCTCATGATACAAGAAAAAAAAATTTTTTTTAATTGTGTAAGTTAGCAATTGGAAAAAAAACAATCCCATTGATAGGTTTTTAGCGTCAAGAAACCTAAAATAGTTATGACATAATCAAAATCACACATTACACAAAATATTGCTGAGAAAAATTAAAGATGACAGATGGATTCAACTCAATGCTAATTAATCATAATGCCCATCAGGCTTTTAAAAAATAGAAATCAACAGGCTTACTTTAATATTTACATAGAAATACAAAGTACACGAAATAGTCAAAGCAATAAGTAGACCTACACTTACATGGTCAACCTAATTTATTAAAAGGCACCAAAGTAATTAAATGGAAAAAGCACAAATGGTGCTGGATTAACTGATCATATGGATAAAAATGAACCTCGATCCCTACCTTGTATCACTTAGAAAAATTTGAGATGGATCATAGATGTAAAAGCCAAAAATTATAAAGCTTTTACAAGAAAACATCACCATCACAATGTGGAGGAAGGCAGATTTATCCACAGAAAAGATCCATTAAAAAAGCTGATAAATTAAGACTTGAAATTAAGAACTTCTACTCATCAAAACACTTAGAAAAATGAAGACAGACTAGAAGATATCTGCAAAATACTAGACCAAAAAATTGTATCCAAAATATATAAAAGTCCTGTATCTCATTAATAAAAAGCCAACCTAATTTTAAAATATACAAAACTTTTCAAAGAATATAGTAAATGGCTAATTGACACAGAGCATGTTCATTAGAGAAACGTAGATTAATACAAGATACTATTACATACTCAGAAGCCACAATGCTTATATGCAAATGTTCATAGCAGCTTTATTCATATTTTCCCAAAATTGGAAACAAAATGTTCATTAACAGGAGAATAGCTAAACAAATTGTGGTACATTCATACAATGGAATACTACTCAGCAATAAAAAGAAATACATGGTTCAACCTCTCAAAACTTTATACTAATGAAAGCATTAAGTGATTCAATTTAGTTTCAGAGCTGGGGGGGGAGGGAAACCCTAGTCTATGGTGAAAAAATATGGATAGTAGTTAAACTACCAACTAAAGTAGGGGTAGTGCTTTGTTGCTTAGGTAGGGGTATAAGGGAAACTTCCCTTGTCCTGATATGGATGTGGGCTAACAGTATCCATTTTCAAAATCGTAGTTAAGATTTGTGTATTTCAATTTTTTAATAAATCTTACCTAATAAGAGGTGTGCATAGTGGACAGATGAATGTACCAAAGCAGAACTGAGGACTACCGAAGCTAGGGTGTGAAGGTTCAATTTTTTAAAATATACATCCAATTAAGATGTTTAATTACAAATCTCAACCTATTTTTATGGGCTCCTAGCTCACATATCCAACAGCATATTGGACACCTCTTGACACTGCCAATGGTTTTCTTCCAAACTTAGTCACATAACAGATCTCTCTGACCCTGCCTCAATTTCATCCTAGGTTTCTGGTTTCAACAACTCAGGAAAATGCTAGATTGCAAGAAGTAGTCTGCAGAGGGTTCAGTTTGGGGTAAGAAGTGACACTTATCATCTTGTAAAGGACTAATAAAGTAGACCCTAAGGAGCAAACATAAGTGGGAAGAAACCAGAAAAGTAAAACAAACTGATGGTGATCAACAGTGGACATGCTTGCAGTGAACTCAGTTATAAAGTCTCTGAAAGTAGGAATGGGTGGATAGAATCCAAAGGACCAATACTTCTTCCATTATGACAAAAAGGGTAGATGAGAATGTCAAGTTTGAAGGTGGGTAGCCAGGAAATGGTGAGTTATCTGACTAGGACAATAAAAGCCTTTTATCTTTCATAGTGTGATATCACATTTACCATATTTTTCAGATTACGTCCCTGAATCTGATCAACACCAAGTGTCTGCCAAACTCAGTTACCTGTTCATGTAAAAGAATCTGGTGCTGTAAGTATTGCACACATATGTAACAACCTGCTTTTCTATGATCAACCCTTTTTAACTCAGATGATGAGATATGTACCCGCATGGCACAATGATCAAAAGCTTATAACTCTGTTCTAGTTAATAGAAATAACCATGAGTTAAACTCTGCCCCCACCCCACCATCAAGAGCCTATTTCATAATAAATGTTAGATTATTCTACCTTCCAACTTTTCACTTTTCTAGCTCCAAACTCTAGCATTCTTATTCTTACTACTTACACCCTTTCTACTCTTTGATATCCTGGTATATAGCCTGGATGATTTCCTTTGAGCTTCAGGTATGAAGCCACTAACAAAAAAATGTTTAAATCTGTTCTCCCAGGAGCTTAGAGATCTTATCTTTATGACAACTCCCATAAATCTTAAAAAATGATCATTAAATATTGATTTACTCAATTAATTATAAAAACTTTAGATGTCTAGTATTTGCTCATGTATACTATTTAAAAAAATACATCAACAGAAAACTTTCTGAATGTCACTAGACAATGAATTAAGCAAACCTTTATTGAAGCTTAAATTGTGGTACAGAAATACATTTCAACTGATTTAAGTCCAACACCATGAAGAGAGAAATTATGGCACCAAAATTTTCCCTCCTCTATCATACACACTAGGATTAATTTAGATTACTATTCAATCTACAGTTTTTATTTTTCTAGGCTTTGTTCCATACAAATTTGTGCAGTTTCTCAACATTAAATAGAAATCTTAAATCTATTGGGCTGGGGCAGGGATCAGACCTCAAGCCAATAAGTGTTCATCAAATCTACTGGGACACTGTTCAAGAACAAAATCCACTTTGAGCATTGGTCCTCATAATAGCACCAAAACATTAGGTACTGTGCGCTAATTACAGAACCGGACTGATCCATTGATTGAAAGCTTCTTCAATGAAGCTCTGAATCAACATGTTTAAAAGTCAAAAGTGTTCCAACCACTTGATTTCAAACCAAGTAGAATTTATGTTTAGAAACACTAAAAAAAAAAGTGTTTCATTTATAAGTACGGAAGAAACAAAAACATCACTGCATCAATCCAGAATGAATCAAAAATTGTTTGAGGACAAGAAGAAATACAAAATTGAGTCAACTTTGCTCTTTTCTCAGCTGCTTAAATAAATGTCCGTATTAGCAAATACAGCTAAAAGATGCCAACTCTTTTAAGCCTGTATTTCTAGTCATTTCCAATTGACCATTTTGGAATTTTGTATGTTGTGTTTTATGGATAGCACTCTGCTTCACTGTGTAGTATGTCTGAATAACCTGAACAGTTCTCATTCATCACTTGATGTTACTCCATGGAGAAAGAAATACCAGTAAGAGGAAGCGTCAGAACACTATCACATGCATCACAAAGTCACAGAACTTTTTAAGTCACAAAGACGGCAAAGACATCGATTCTGCTTTGAACGAAAGTTTATGGCATATCATTAATAGAAATTAGTGGAAATGGCTATGAAAATAAAAGTTGAGGTGAATCATCTGAGCTGACTCAACTTGTTGAATCCAACACAACCTTTATCTTAAATCTCCTTGCTAACAAATTTAGTGATAATTTTTCTATACTACTACTTAGCAAGTTAATAAAGACATGGTACCCATGAGAAGCGAATCTCATTTAATGGGGGGCACAGAATGGCATACAGTTCTGCCAATATTCCCTAGTATCAATCTACACCTTCTTCACTAATCAACACCAGCTTATTCCAAAAGAGCTCATGGTAACGAAAAATGCCAAACTCCCTTGACCTTAAAAGAAAATTAAGCCCAGGGTCCACCCCCAACCCCGTTCCCCCTCTGGGGTATAAGGTTAGTGTAAACCCACAGTGTAACAGTGTATTGCTTTATGGAGGGGGTGTGGTTGGGAGGGAGACACCATGGTGAGGAATGAATCAAAGTCGCACAAGTATAGGAAGCAGTGAGATAGTAACACACAAAATGGATAACTGCAGTCATTTTCGTAGAGGACTCGACTCGTGGAAGAAGAACTTTGATTGGTGCTGCAAAAACATCTGTATGAAGTAGAAATTCGTTTCAATAACTTTAGTAGAGAATATGTTCTAGAAAGTGGAGGTAACTGGATGCAAAATCCTGGTAGCAATTTAATAGAACAGTCCCAGATGGCTAGGCTGAGGCCAACACCTAATGAGGACGAAAGCCTTGTCTGTGGGGAATTTTGGATGATACCTGGAGAAATATTACACTGGGCATAAACCAAATTGAGTTGTTTTCACAAGTGTTGTAAAGTTTCATATAGTAAAAGGTTTTTTCTACATGCACTTCAATTTCACAGCAAGAGTGGCATAGGATACCTAAACACAGAAGAGAGCATTCATGCAAGATATCTAACTCCTTGATATAATAATGCATACAATTCAAAATGATTACACTATCATTACATCTAGGGCTTTCTGCAACTACAAGGTGGTGGTTATGGAAAGCATGGCCCTTGGTATCAATATCTAAAAAGCAGCCACCACCTTCTTCTATGTGTGTTCTCTTTTTGCGTTTCTTCTTCATTTTTCTTAATCAACTCTGCTGTTGTTGCTGCTTCTTAGCAAAACTGGTAAAAACAAAATTGTAATCATTGAACATAGCGCTCTGGCAATCAAGACGTTTAAAACCTTCAATCTTCTGGGGTGAAGAAAGCACTGTGCGACATTTAGAACTCTGGGGAAAAAAATTAAATTAACCATGAGTGCTTCCAATCTGCAGAAGTATTTTCAAACAAAGCAGTCATGCAATAAATATTTAAGACTACTATTTTAGTCAAACTGTGGCACTGAAATATTTTAGCTGACTTCTTAGGGGTGGGATGAAGTGGGGCACCTTATGTCCCCTGGCACCCCCCACCCCAAGGTCTATCAACAGGGAAAATAGGACAAGAGGAGCCCATGAACTGGGTTAGATATAAAAACAAGGACCAACATAAGTCTAATGAAACACATAAAGCTTCTCATCTACCAAACACCTCAATTAGTAGTACCTCTGAATATCTGAATGATTATGTGCCATCTCAGAATACATTTTATGACATGCTTCACTATCTTTATTTTCTGTAAGATTTTATTGTCAATAATAAAATACTTTACCTGATTTACAAACAGGGTGGTCACAAATTTTCCTGGCTTGAAGACTTCCACAACTTTCCTGATCAGGTCATCATAGGAGGTCTGACTTAAGTTTGTTTCAAAGCTAACATAAGAAAATTCTGGTTCTGGAGTGATGTGAATAGTCCAATAAGTTCCCTTTGAGAAATAGTTTTGTGTTAATAATGGAAAGGGCACACTTAAATATTTCAATTATTAAGCAAGATATTCTTACTTACATCCGATTTCATTCCATTCATTGAATACCCACAAGGATTGAACAGTGTGGCATCAATGACAGAACCTGGTATCAGGTCACGAATTCCACTCTCCTGGAAAAAAGCCCAAAAACTGAATTAAAAACAAATCTGAAAAATAAATGGAGAATGAGTTAAAATATTTAGTCACCAAGCAGAATACAGAATTATTATTGAAAATGCTTACACGAGTGACATCCTTTGCAGTAACACCATCTTTCATGTAGAACTGGTCCATAACTGCTGGGTCAAGCTCACTCATCAGAATTTCCAGGGTTTGATCTGGCTGATTGATTACCCGACTCTCTGGGAAATCCAAAGTATACAAGTACCTATGTAAAAGTACAAAATAGTTTCTAACAATGACAAGTCCAAGTTTAAAGTAAATCTTATGTAGAACAAAACTTCCATCAAATTGGGTCCAACATACCAACAATCAGAATTCATGCGTCCCATACAATATGCTGCTCCATCTGTTGAAGGAGAACATAAAATAAATTTAACAGATCCATTCGATAGCAAGTAGGCAGGATCCCCCTCACCTTTTAAGAAAAAACTTTACTGGCTGTCATTTAGAGATGCACTTCAGCTAGTGAGTCAGTCTAAATGGTGCTGAGAAAACTATGGTTTACTCTCCCCTAAAACTCCATTAGGAAATGGAATTTGGTCACCCATTTATCTACTCTCTCAAGTAAAAAGTTATTTTATGTAATACGTCCTCCTGTCCATAGTGTTTCAAAGCCTCATTAAACACAGTAAATTAATAGTTGGTAGATATTTAAACTAAATTATACTCAGCACTCTTATTTATATAACTAGTACAATTTCATATTAGTAGATGAGGTAAGAACAGTAGGATAGAAATCTGATTTTCTTTTTAAATCATCCCTGTGGACAACTTTGTGCCATGTTACTAAAATCATCCAGGTTTTCAGCCTCCTTTAGGATATGAGGGTGTTAGATTAGATAAACTTTACTTTCCCTGTCCTTGAAGCTCAAAAAGGAAGGTCTATAAATAAAAGCTTAGCAAATGGATGGAAAAAATCTTGCCAATTTACTTGAAGTGACACTATGCTCTCACTAAGTTGACCATTTTTAAGCTAGGACAATTCCTATATAGAATGCTCGACAGAGTTTCTTATCATGGACCAGTGCCTTAGCCTGGGTTTATGAGGTGACTGGGCATTTTTCTGGATGAAGGGATTACAGCCTTCATAACCACTAAGTTAGATATAAATGAGGGCAACTGGCTAGATGAAGATGAGCTCTCCCTCTGGCAGGCGATCAATTCCTTGATTTCCCCCCATCATTTCAACAACACTTACACAACATACTCCAAAAACTGTAATCAGCTACATTGATATATTTATCTTAACTACATAATGTGCTGCATTTGACACACAGGCGTGCGCACACACACACACATTTGAGAGAATATATCTTCTAACTTTAAGAAAGCAGGATTCAATTCTATTAAAACTTACTTGGGAAAATTGCATTCAGAAACTCTATTTCTTCCTGGAAATTCCGGTGTGGGTACCCTTGGTGAGAAGGCTTCATGAAATTCTTACGAGAATAAAAGAAGCTCTATAAAAAGACAGACAGATAACTTCATACACTGAATTCTATCACCTTTCCTAAACCAATCAACTATTTTCTACATATACATATCAAAATCAAAACTATATCCACAAATATTTTCCCCAATGACACCTAACATAGTGTTTTTCCTTTAATATGCTTAATAGATGTATAAGTACTTTGCTGGACGACAAACAAAAGCAAAGGCCACTATGTCAAAGAGCAAAGTTTCAGACCAATACCCATGGGTTAGTGTTATACAGAGCAACTTTGTTTTTCAGCTGTGAATAGAGTCTAAATAGAACATTAACCATGTAGATTGTGTCACTGAATTTCTAGAAACTAAAAAATGCCCAACTACTAATGATGGGTCATAACAACTGTAGAGACAAGGTACAATATTTATTTCTAGAGCAAAAGTTTCTTTTTCTTTCTTTGTTTTTTTCTGTGCCATATCACGTGGCATGTGGGATCTTAGTTCCCCGACCAGGGAATTGAACCTGGAACCTTGACAGTGTGAGCACGGAGTCCTATCCACTTGATGGCCAGGGAATTCCCTAGAGCAGGAGTTTTCTTTCTTTTTTTTTTAAATTAATTTATTTTGTTTTATTTAGTTTTTTGGCTGTGTTGGGTCTTCATTGCTGTGCGTGGGCTTTTTCTAGTTGTGGCGAGCAGGGGCTACTCTTCATTGCGGTGCACAGGCTTCTCATTGCGGTGACTTCTCTTGTTGCAGAGCATGGGCTCTAGAGCGCAGGCTCAGTAGTTTTGGCGCACGGGCTTAGGTGTTCCACGGCATGTGGGATCCTCCTGGACCAGGGGTCGAACCTGTGTCCCCTGCATTGGCAGGCGGATTCTTAACCATGTGCCACCAGGGGAGCCCTAGAGCAGGAGTTTCTAATACGAGTTTTTTTGTTTTTTGTTTAATTTAATTTTGGCTGCGTGCGGGCTTTCTCTAGTTGCAGCAAGTGGGGGCTACTCTTCATTGCGGTGCGCGGGCTTCTCATTGCGGTGGCTTTTCTTATTGCAGAGCACAGGCTCTAGGCACTCGGGCTTCAGTAGTTGTAGCACATGGGCTCACTAGTTGTGGCTCACAGGCTCTAGAGTGCAGGCCCAGTAGTTGTGGCACACGGGCTTAGTTGCTCTGTGGCATATGGGATCCTCCTGGACCAGGGCTTGAACCTGTGTCCCCTGCATTGGCAGGTGGATTCTTAACCACTGCGCCACCAGAGAGTCCCTAATCTGAGCTTTATAACAGGCATGTAAGCAAAAATTTTGTGGCAGAACATGTGTATATTTAGTTTCAAAAGAGTCACTGATCCAAAAATTAAGAACATATTGCTAAATTTAGATTTTCTTAAAAGGGTCAATAATTAACAAAAACTGTTTTAGGTCCTAATGACAGCTATCCTTGCCATAGTTAATTATTAAAATTCAACATTTGCTTATCAGAACAATTATACCCTAAGTATAAATTCTGATAGCATTCAAGAATTAACTGACTATTGCTCTTTAACATAATCAATTCTTTATTATGAAGACTGGATGATTTTTCTTGCTTTTCTTTTTCTTAGTTTCTCTACCATTCATAGTAATAATATTAAGGAATTAACTACTGAAAGTGTCTGGTTTTCTTTTCTCCCATTTGAGTTTTATCCCAACTCATTCTCTGGTTCCTCCATATTTTTTGCTATTAATGAGCAACAGGCACTCTTTCTCCCCATGTTGTGAACGTCCTTACCCATTAAAACTGAACAAGTATACAAATTTATTTACCAGGCACATCACCGAACCCTAACATTTACGCCCCACCCCGCAAAAGGATAAATGATTTTTGATTACTTACTTGAATTGAGTCAAACCCACTGTAATCCCTAGCAAGTTTCAACAGGGGAACCAGTGCTTTCAGCAAGAGGGTGGTACCACATGTCTTCAAAATGAAACGTCTCTTGGAGACAAACATGCTACTCTCACTGCAGTTTAAAAAAAAGTCACAATATTATAACAATGTTTATGTACTACTGAGATGCTTAATCTGTTATTGCACTGTCATTTACAATGTAAATTTTTGGCTAATAATTTTAAATGTTAAGATCTCAAGGAGGAAAATAATGTACTATAGTATTCTTCCTCTTCTATTATATAAAAATCAGTGTAAGGTTATAGGACCCCACAGAAACAGAACTTAAATTAGGTATAAAGCATATTAGCTCATTACACAAACTCTCTTTTAGTAGTCAACTTTCCTCCTCACCTAACCTAACCTAACTTAGGACACTAAATTCATACTTTACCTCATTTTGAACTGCCCACTCTCGTGTATTTCTGTAACCATCTCATTACTTTTCATTAGATAATAAGCTCTATGAGGAAAGGAATGTTTGTTTTTACTCATCATTATATCCCTAGGGCCTGGCACATAATAATCATTTGATAAACATCTGTACATGCCAAGCACAAGCTTCGTAAAAAGCAGGCACCATGTTCAATACAATAGCCCCAAGGCCCATTATAGTATTATTATAAGAATTCAATATAGTATCTTTGTACCTATAAAAAGGTTGCATGGCTTTCTTCTCTTACATACAGCAATCCTATTTGTATGATGAAGCTAATTTTCACTTTGCCTGAAGTTCTGAGAGAGAGGCATATACTAAAAAGGAAGATCTGTATCAGGGACTGTGGGCAAAGGAACAGTGCCATTCTACCCTCCCCTCCTTCACAGACATTTCCTGCTAACCTCAAGGAGGTAGTAAAGATGGCAACCATCTTGAAGAGCTATTAGGTAAGACTTCAAAAACCTACTGCCTAGGGACATCGGAAGTAAACATTTTATTTTACATCATATTTTAAAAAATAAGATGAAAACAATTATAGAACTAAGATCCAGAAAAATGATTTGCTATTCCATGTAAAGTATGATTCAGACTGAAATTGGTTAGCCAACACTTGTTTTACAGGACTTACCTGAGTACATAAGCTTCCTGCTTGTCAGTTTTTGTCACACTTATGATTGAACATTGCACATCCTTCAAAAGTATGTCCCACTCGGATCTATTATTTAACCAAAAAGAGGATGATTAATTCATAACCGTACTCTCATAAAAATTACAAAGGTCTCAAAGGTTTCCAGTGATTTAAGACCACATTTTATATCTGTTGTCACATTCTTGTTCCAGCTTCTCTTATGAATACCAACATTTAGTTTTGTTTCAAAATAATTTATATTGGGGCTTCCCTGGTGGCGCAGTGGTTGAGAGTCCGCCTGCTGATGCAGGGGACACGGGTTTGTGCCCCGGTCCGGAAAGATCCCACATGCCGCGGAGCGGCTGGGCCCGTGAGCCATGGCCGCTGAGCCTGAGCATCCGAAGCCTGTGCTCTGCAACGGGAGGGGCCATAACAGTGAGAGGCCGGCGTACCGCAAAAAAAAAAAAAAAAAAAAAAAATTGACATATCCACCAGATAAGATGGATACATTTTGCTATAGCATGTAAAAAACAAAAAAGCAAACCGAAACCCAGGAAATTATACTACGTATTTGCAATTTATTAAGAAAAAGACAAATGGGGGGGTGTGGACAAATGGACAAAATAATGTAAATAGGCCATGTACAGAGGAAATACCAAAGGCCAATAAACCAAGGGAAAACATTACCTTTCACTAAGTGATTAAAGAAATACAAGTTAAAATGAGATACTTTTTTCCCCTATCAAATTCTGATTGTTTTTTTGGGGGGGATGCACCACACAGCATGTGGGATCCTAGTTCTCCGACCAGGGATCAAACCTGCGCCTCCTGCATTGGTAGTGCAGATTCTTAACCACTGGACTGCCAGGGAAGTCCCTCAAATTCTGATTTTTAACCTTACTATATGAATTACAATTTAAAAGCATCATTTCCTTCACCAATTAGATTGGCAAAGAGATTTAAGTTTGACAGCAAAAGTAAGCTGGTACTCTCACACAGTTTTGATACTATTTTCTGCTATCAAGTTGGCAGCTAATCACAATGCCCAGTGCTGTTTAAAGGTCTAGAAGCATTGTCAAAAAAACCAAAAAATGCCTTTGGCTGACAATTCAATAGTACAAGCATACCCATAAGATCTTGGGAATACTGTTACACTCTAATGTGATGACAAAATGCCCATTTCAACAAAGCTGAAATGCAGTAAGGCAGTAGACAGCAAAAAGGAAGTCATGCGCTAGTCTTAATCTACCCGATTGAGACCTAAGGTAGTGCTTCCTCTTCAGTGTGCCCACTATAAACAGAAAGTTAACATAAAATATTCCCACAGGACAGCTTAAAATAACCAGATTAAAGGCTAGAAATATGTTTTAAGCCTCTTAATATTTGGCAACTCATTCTTGTATACCCAAGAAAATGGCACATTAAAGTTTTCTTTTCTAGTTAAGACCTTGTGAGAGAAATCCTCAACAGCACAGCCAGCACAGAAATAGGTATGCTTACTCTTTTGTATTAAAGGCAAACATAATACCAATCAATCCTGCTAGAATTTTGTGCCTGTTTCATCATTTTTCTAAAAGAATGTTATTGGCCCAATGGGCTATTGGATGACCAGCCACAAGGCAGTAGTAATTCCTCCCACTGGTAGATTAAATTGAACATTACTCAGACCCATCTGAAAACTTAAATGATTTAGCCTTGCTAATGATTAATTATAAAGCCTATTTGCCCATAACTTTATCAAGCAACTTTTTTTTTTTACGAAGCAACTTTTAAAAAGAGCTAACAATTACTCTTTTTAAGAGGTGCTAATGATTGTTTACATAAAGAAGAAAATACGTATTAGACTTGGCCATGTTTTTGCAGTTTGTTTCAAATTTTAAAAATGGTTCAATTTGTTTAGGGAAGGAAAAACAGTTGCAATTAAGACCCAGTTCTGAGTTAACACAAATTTATAGATTGTCTTAGGTACTGAAGTAGTAGCTTTCAGTTTCATATTTCTAAGATTCAAAGGTCACTAAATGTGCAAACAACATTCCAGAACCCACAGTATTTCAATTCCACAAAGAATATGCCTTCATGCAAAAAGAAATAACCAGAACTAAAGGAAAACATGAGGCTCTTATTGAAGCTATTGCTTTTCTGCTTTGTGACATTTCTTACAATTACCCCTGGGCTTGGTTTAATAAAACCTACCTCACATGACTGATAATAAATTACATAATGCATACAAAATTTACCTACTAGATAATAAGAATTCAAATACTGAATATGAAGGTAAATAATAAAAATACCCACTATAAACATTAGAAGCATTTAAGTAAAATTCTGGAGCACAGGGATCTCTTTAGAGATCTAATTCAGATCTTCCAATAATGCTACTGGCTAATGTCATTACCTACTGACTTCCCACTAGAATTAAGCACTCCTGCAAATATTCTCTTCTATCCACGGGACATAACATAAATAGTGAATAGAACTGAAAAGCGGTGATTAAAGTTAACTACCCTCCCCCAGTTTTATTCAGATATAGTTGACATACAGCACTGTGTACGTTTCATGTGCCCATCATAGTGATTTCACTTATGTATACTGCAAAATGACTACTGCAATAAGTTTAGTTAGCTTTCATCACCTCACATAAATACAATTAAAAAAAAAGGCATTAAAAGAAAAAAATTTTTTTTGGTGTGATGAGAACTCAGGGTTTATTCTCTTAACATTTTCTTCACATATCATACAGCAGTGTTAACTATAGGATGTTAAGACTTTTAAACGTGTTCTGTGGCTGAGCTAGATATAGTATAACAAGAACTTTTCCTCGCTTGTATAGGTTTTTTTCCTGGACTTGCTTTTCATTTGCTTTTCAAAGCTGTCTTGCTTTTTCATTTGCTTCTGTTTTCTACACACTTATCCAAATTTATCCTCAGATGTTCCCCCAAATGTCTCCTCTTTCAACGTTTCTTTTAAGTGGTTCTTGGCCAAGAATAGGGTGCTAAGACTTAGCTAGTCAGAAGTTCTATGCTTGTTTAGTGGACCTCTCTCTATCTAGGCTGTTTCACTTGGGAACTCCGTGTTTTTTTGCTGTTGTTCTTTCCTGGGTAGGTCAGATTACCCAAATATTCGGTTCTCTTGCCTGGAGCATATTAAGATTTCTGGTAGGTAAAAGAGCTGATAAAGGGCTAGGGATCTCACACTCAGTATAAACTTTTTATTCTGTTATCAGTGTAGTGACTCTACCCCTCAACTGTACCTGCTTCCCTTACTTCAGAAAGATCCTGTTTTACTCCCTCCAAAGAGTAAACTATTATCTAATCTTCAGATCTCCTGGGATCCCCCCTTCTCATCTGACACATTATATGATAAAGACACAACGAGGGACTTCCCTGGTGGCGCAGTGGTTAAGAATCTGCCTGCCAACGCAGGGGACACGGGTTTGAGCCCTGGTCCGGTAAGATCCCACATGCCGCAGAGCAACTGAGCCTGTGCGCCACAACTACTGAAGCCCTCGTGCCTAGAGCCTGTGCTCTGCAACAAGAGAAGCCACCGCAATGAGAAGCCCGCGCACTGCAATGAAGAGTAGCCCCGCAATGAAGAGTAGCCCCGCAGCTCGTTGCAATTAGAGAAAGCCCGCGGGCAGCAACAAAGACCCAACATAGCCACCCACACACAAAAGACAATGAGAAGAATAATTAAAGCAAATAAAGTGTACATTGACAGACATATAGATAACTAATTCACCCAAATCAAGCCACCTGAGAGTGAACTAGAACCTTATAGTTATGCTGAGACAACAGGTGCAAACTTTGACTGTCCTGGATACTGCTGAATGGATTTCACTCTACCTAGAACCTCTGTCCCCACCTCCCTTCCTCCAGCTCAAGCCACCCCACTACCCCCACCAGATCAAGTCTGCCATTAAAATGTTTTATAACTCAGAAGGCTTACCTAAGTGCTTTAGTTGTGTGGCTATTTTGGTATTCATGTTAATCCCACCAGAATCATTCCAGGTAGTTAGGGATTGAATGTGTAATTTACTGTTTCCATCCTCAGTGCCTAGCCCAGTTCACAGCAGGTCCTAAAATATTTGTTGCATCTGGCAATAATTTTGATTAGATCTTATAAACTTACTAAAAAATCAAAGTGCCTTAAATTTAAAAAATCTAAACTGCTACATGATCCCATTCAGTTTTTTAAATTTGTCACCATAATAATTCAGGTATTTAGAGGGTGAGTTCTTAAAAAGAAAAAATAAAAGATTCATTTAACAGAATTATTCTGTTAATGAGCTACACATATATCTTCCACTTGAAATGCTATCTTAACCTGGATAAATGAAGCTTAGTCATTTCACTGTCCAATATCTTAGCTGTTATAGAACCCATTCATTTTAATGAACCTAGACATGGACTATTTTCTCTGCATCACACTCCTCTTTCTGTGAATCTGACACAAAATGTTAAAACTTTTGGTTTGTCCCACCAGGATCTGTTCATTTTCAGTCTCAATATTTTCTCTGTTGTTCACACTGGGCAATTCCTACTGATCTGTTTTCAAGTTCACTCACTCTCTGTCATCTCCATCCTACTAAATAAAGCCCATTCAGTAAACTTTTTATTCCAGTAGTTATTTTTTAGTTCCATCTTCTATTTCTCTGCTAAGACTTCTAAGTGTTTTCCTTACTTCTTATAGAATGGTTATGATAGATGCTTTTAAATTTTGATCTGCATCACCTAGAGGCTGGAGTCTATTGATTGTCTTCCTTTGAAAGAATTTCCTGGTCATTTATTTGTATGTCGAGTAATTTATGATCGCATCCTGGACATCACACTATATGATTTTACATCTCCTTTAAATCCTATGGAGCATGCTGATTTTAAAGAACTGTGTTAGGGGACTTCCCTGGTGATGCAGTGGTTAAGAATCCGCCTGCCAATGCAGGGGACATAGGTTTGATCCCTGGTCCGGGAAGATCCCACATGCCATGGAGCAACTAAGCCCATGAACCACAACTACTGAGCCTGCGCTCTAGAGCCCGCGAGCCACAACCACTTAAGCCCGTGCGCCTAGTCCATGCTCTGTAACAAGAG